AAGCCGCCTTAAATAAGGCACTGTCACTTATTTCTGATGAGTTCTATTTATCAGTATCCGAATGTTTTTCTTTCTTATAAGCACTCTACACAGCCCTTTCTACTTTGCTGACAGAATCTTTGCAAGAGCTTCTGTGACATCCTCCGGAGCAGCTTCAGATTATTAATAAAACCCACCTATGACTATAAATATATACTGTTCCTATTCCTTAACGTTTCTAAAGGTGTAGTTGTTTGTATGTTTTTTAACCTGCTGCTAGATACTAATGGCAAGAAGATAATGATGAACTGCAGTTAGCCTTTTTATCTTCTCAGACTGCTTTGATAAAATACATCAGTGACTTTACAGATGACCTGTCTATTGATCAGGATGCTAAGCATTGGAACAGACTTCTGTGAAGTATTGAGGTTTTTTTACTCTGCTTTGCCCACCAAAAATCATTAAAGTCACTGGTATAGCTAGGAATAAGCGTTAACAATCTCTGGGGTTGATAAATCAAAGTTTGTGTGTGCATGATCTGCTTTGTAATAAAATCAAGGTCTGGCCATCAAATTGTCTGGTCTCTGTTTCCCAAATAGTTCATGGACTAACCAGGTGTGAACTAAAGCAATTGCAGGCAAAGTGGAATACAGCCCTTCCGTCTATCCAGTTTGATGGGTAGGCTATAAACTGTAAACTATGCATAGACTGTAGAGCAGGAAAGAACAGGTATCCTTTCCTGGTTTTGTTGAGTGAGGACACCAGAACATACAAGAGGCTTCTGGTAGGGCAGAAGATCCATCTCATGTGGTTTCCAGTAGCCAGGTGCCTGAGAAAGCATGTAAGACCAGAGCAAGTGCATAGGGGTCCTTCCATTCCGTAGTCCTGAGGAATTTGAAGCTTGTGGATTGCTGAGGTTTTGCAGTTGTATTTAATGACATTGGGTGACTTTTCTTCCATTGATCTATTATTTACATATCAGGGAAACTTGTTTCTGATGGACAGAAACTGTAATTTTACTCTGAATAGGAAAGTCAGAGTAGTAAATGTCATCACACCTGTGACAAAGTTATCAGCTCTGTCTGTCCGAATGGAAAAGAGTGGAGGGGAAGAGCTGTTTTGTTTTAGGAAGTTACCATTTAAATGGACCTAAGCTGGCTTGGATGTTAATATATCACTGAGATAAATGGGATGGAGGAGAGTTTATTTCTTTGCTGCCACAACGCTGGCAGGCCCCTGTGCCCTGTAATTGATTAACAGGGCACAGTGCATTGACTTATATGGGAAAAGCTATTATATCTCAGTAACAGGAAGGTATATATGATTCTGGTTTAGTAAGTAAAAAATTGGATTCTGCAGGAAATAACTAGAACTGCCGAAAGAACCAAAGGTTCCCAAGGATTTTTTTTTTTAACTCTTAAATCTGTGGCATAACAGCATTTCATGTTATGAAGGAAGTTTTAATAGTGCAGTATATTTAGTGGAACTTTCATACACAGCTGGAAATATTAGCTTATGTAAGCAGACTTTTAACTTCTATTGGACCCAAAGTCATGAGTTATTGATGAGATTTAATATCTTTTTTAACAGCTATTCATTCAAAGGGTAATCATTCCCTGTAATTCATACACATCTATGGTGACTTTCCTTTATTTTGAAGCCTAAATGAGTGGGCAGATTGACAGGATGTGTGTGTTTGTTTTTTAAACAGTAAGAAGCTTATTACTTGGCATCCCAAAACAGGCATAAGAAGTGAATGCAGTTTTAAACAACCACCACTACCCCTGACCCTAGTACTGGTGATTCCAGCCACACTGAGAAAGCAGATGGCCAGGTTCAATACTTCAAAAGCAGACTTACACCAAATGAAGCACATTGATGACTGACAGTAAGACTTGGGATCACAGGGACAAACACAGTGTGGTACTTCCTGTGGGATTTTAGTTTTAGTTTTTGGCTATGTCAAGCTTGTCTTTCTCATTTGTTTGAAACCAAGTTAAGGAAGCAGAGTGACAAGGCAAGATCATACAGGGGGAGAATGATTTAGAAGTCAGTACTTCTTCCATAGAAGTTTTCCCCATACTTCTTTTCATGTGGCATCATTGATAGTAGCACCAATATTGTAGCTGTCAAAATACAAGGTGGAAATGTGGGGTTGCTACAAGGAAAGAAGTTCTGATGAGCTTCTGTGATTTGGAAAGGCTTTTTCCAAAGCTCTCATTGTTTCTGAACACAATTTTGTTGAAGAAATTAATCCCTTTTTAGAAATGCTTTTGCTGAGAGTTATAGCTCTTTTGTTTCAAATTATTCTTTTTAGAGTATCATGACCAATAGTTTCCCATTACATTCCATAACTAATCAAATTGCAGAAGTAGCATGCACTTCTTTCTTCTGCTTATGTTCTTCCGTACAGATGGGGAGTTTTCTCCTCAGCACCCAGTGTGAAAGTATAGGTGTGGGAAAACCATCTAAGGCTGATGATTTGCTTGGAAAAAATACACCACCCCCCCTCCCATAAACGGAACAGGTATTCATCTTGGCTCTCATTATGAATGTGAATATATTTCTCTTACAGTCACTATCCCATAAGATAAGCATTGGAAAGTATTATGTATTTGTAAAGTATTTCTGCTTATGTGTACTTCTTTGTTTAAATGTTTCATTTGCATTTTACCTAAGAACAGTATTAATGGGAAATTAATTCAAATCTCTAGCTACCTAACACTTGACAATGAAGGGGCAGTGAGAGCAGATTGCTAGTAGTATTTAAGTTGAAAACTGGTTTATTTGAACCACTGAAAAAATACTGTAGCTAAAGAAATAGTTGAGAAACTTTAACTCTGTGACTGTAATATGAAGAAGGGCTACAAGAAACCTGGAGAGGGACTTTTTACAGATAGTAAAAAGTCTACATAGTGACATAGGACAAGGGCAAATGGCTTTAAGCTCAAAAGAAGGGAGATACAGATTAGACACTAGGCAGAAGTTCTTCCCTGTGAGGGTGCTGAGGCGCTGGCACAGGGTGCCCAGAAAAGCTGTGGCTGCCCCATCCCTGGCAGTGTTCAAGGCCAGGTTGGACACAGGGGCTTGGAGCAACCTGTGCTAGTGGAAGGTGTCCCTGCCCGTGGTAGGGGCTTGGAACTGGATGAACTTTAAGGTCCCTTTCAGCCCAAACCACCTCTGTTGTGAAGCTCTAACTTTGAGCTGTGACTGAAATCCCAGCAGCCTGGCACCCAGGTAAGCCTTTGCTCTGTGCTGTGCCCCTGATGCTAGGGTTTGCTCCTGTGCATGCCTGGTGTGTTGCCTTAGATGGCGTGGTGTGAGCTTCAGGCATGGCTCTTGACCATGTGTGGCCACATCCAAGGCAGGGCAAGGAGGGAGGAGGTGAATTGATCCTTTTATTTTGTGGTATAAACAATAATGCTTAGAACCATTTGTCTTCCCTTGTCAAAATTCCATCATTAAGTAGTGTGGTTGTGAACTTTAAAGCCATTGGAATTGTCCTTTAATTCAGTGCAAAGCAATTGCACTTTCCTCTTGCCTGTGCTTTTATGCTGGTATGAATTTTGTTTTCTCCCTTAAGAAACTCTTGGAGATTTGTGAAGGAAACTTACTTATTTTGTTAAATGTCAAGGGTACTGACTCATGAGCAAATGTTCTCCTGTATTTCATTGCTTCAGTTTCTAGTGCTGTGAAAATAATTTTATTTTTCATTACATGAGACTGGAAATTTTAGGAGACCTGCATTATAAATGACTTGGTCTGCTCACAAGCCTGTTTTTTTTTTTTCCCCATTGAGGTTCCTCTGTTCATGGTAGGATTAATTCAGTTTCTGTATGATCCAGTCTGACCAAATCACTGTTTCCTAGTAGTACCAAAACTATATGGTGTGGCTGAGCACTAAAATATCCTGCCAAACAGAAACAGGGGTGGTGTAGTGCTTTCTAGATATATCAGTTGAGGTGTTTCTGCTCACATCAGTGTCTGTGTTGCAGTGTGTGTGTGTGTGTGTGTGTGTGTGTGTGTTAAAAAGGATGAAAGGATGAATCAAGACATCTGGTGTAGATTATGAAGTTTCTTAGGCTGTACCTGAAATGTAAATGAGTAACGTATCACACTTTTTATTCATCTGTTGAAGTAACTGAGGAAAAACTACAGCAAAGGGCAGTTTATTACCTGGGTATTTGAAAAATCAAAACACAATTCTCTTTGTTCTGGTTTATGTAACTTCACGCAACAGTGGATTTGTTTTAAACTTTTCCATAAAAAAGGCAAAGATTCTGATTTTGGGGCTTTTTCTCCATCTCAGGTGCTAATACAAAGTCTTATTTATACTGGGTAAAACAGATGTGAAGTACTCATGGATTCTAGAGATTATATTTAAAAAGCACCCAACCAAAAGAACAACAAAAACACCAAAATCATTTATATTTTGCTAAATTCTAAAGTAAATCTCTAATATGTGATAATTCATAGGCATTTATTAATGTACCCTAATTGGTTTCCTTTTTTAAGATACCAGTTTATCAGCACTTTAGTTACAGTACTGAGAGGTTTTATCTTAGCTACTTCTTACAAAGCTTTCCTGATAATACTTTTCATTAGCACTGGGTTTTCATGTTGCATAAGCCATTCCAGGTGTGTCAGGGCCAGCTTTCTTGTTCTGTTGTAGTATCTGGAAGGAGAGTGGTGACGTATAGTTAAGCATCACCATTAGCTAATTCTGTCCTTTACTGAAGCCTTTATTTTCCCATGTTGAGGGGTGTGTGTATGTGTTTGTGGGTTTGGGGGTGATTTTTTCTTTTTGCTTGTCAGTGTGGTTTTGGGGTTTGGGAATTTCATTTGTTTGGTTTGTGGTTGGGTTTTTTAAACTGAAATATTGGATTGTAGCCTGATGCATTTCATGTGTAAAAAAATAACAAGGTTATGTTATAAGCCAGCAGAAAAATCAAAGGCACACTGCCACCTAATATGTATGACTTATTAACAGTATAAAGTGAATCTGTGTTCTTGTGTTTCAGAGAAGTGTGATGAGCCTTTGGTCTCAGCATTACCCCACTCCTCCTTCAGCAGTTCATCGTCTATGACAAGCAGCTATGTACCCGGGTATGCCAAGTTAAACAAGAGAGGAGGTAAGGAGTGCTCTCTACATTAACATTCAGATATTGAATGAGCAACAAATGATACTTTTAATACGAAAATTCTTTTATGTAAAATATTCTTGCTTATGTTTGCTTTAACAAAGTCTTTGTTGTCTGACAGCTGCTCAGTGTATGTGACAGTAATAGCACTCCCTTGCAGTGCATGGAGGAATGCACCACTAATAACATACAGCATCATGGGTGTGTTGATGGACTCACACTATACAGTTGTACAATTGACTTCAGTTAAAAAGGCGTATCTGTGCTCATCAGGTAAATGGACGTTTGCAAGGTCATGGTTGCTGGAGCAAACCTAAACAGCTTTGATGCACTTTGTTGATTTAGCTTGTTTCTTGCGTTAGCACTGACTGCTGTCACTCAGTACAAAGTCACCTCAGTTTTGGTCGTTGGAAGAATAGGTGTGTAACTTCGGTCTGCCTGGTCTAATTATATCCTAGGGCTAGGCAGATTTATGACACAGTCTGAAAACAAGTCTTTATCTTTACCCATAGGATTTTTGATAGCTTTCCTTGATACTACTAAATGTCTATATATACCATTTTGATATACATCTCGTAAATAATTTTGCAGGAATTATACATTTAAACATGAAACTTCAGATTAACAGAATTAATATTCTGAATACTATTGATTTATTTTTTTTCTGAGTAGTATCAATCTAAAAGTCTTGAAATTGAAAATTTCACTAATTCTTGTGAATGAGTACCAAAATTTTATTTTCTACCCAAAATACATGTTAGTGGTATAATGAAATGACTTTAAGAGCATCGGATTGAGAAACACTTTTGCTGTATGGATGAAGAAGAAAGAGCAAGTGACTGTAGTCATGATTTTCTAAGTCCTGGAGACCTAGGCAAAACAGCAGACTTGTAGAAGGTTGGCTTATTGGCAGTGCCGCTTTTATTTGTCCTGCTCCTGCAGGATGTCCGCTGGTCCTGCCTAGATACCGTATTCTGCCTCCTAAAACTAGTGGTGCCAGTTGCCTGGAGCTGATCGCATAGGAAGGGATGAGCCAGCTCTGTCAAGCTAGCAAGCAAAATCCGTAAGTGGTGAAGAAGAACACAGGCTGGGCTGGGCATGGATCCACCTATGATATGGCTCACATAGAGCCTGGGGGCTGAAATGGGACTCCCAAGCTCTTGCACAGGGCACTCTGGTCTCTCAGTGGGTAGGGTGATTACCGTGTTGGTAGCCTCAAGGCTGCGATGTTTATCTTTATTTATTCTTCTGCAACTGCATTTGTCTGAGTTCTCTGTATGTGTATTTACACATGTATGGTTCTTGTCCTTCGATGTCTTTTTGTCTTGTTCTTTGCTTTCTAAAATCAGTCTTAGCTCCCGAGGTTGCATTCTTTTAATGGCTAGTAATTGACCTGGTATGTTGTTTATAGCCCTTCTCCCTTTGGTACCACCCTGTACTTCCAATACTTCAGTGATTGTAGTCCTCTACATTACATTTTTATTCTACAGTACTAGTGTGTTCTCTGCAGAATATCTACTACAGAAATATACCTGAATTGATATACAGATAGTCACTAGTCCATGCCATCACAAAACTAAGTTAAACATAAAGCGGATTAGGCTATGTTAACTAGGTATTAGAGAGTTGCTATTACAGCTACACAAGCTGAAGAAAAACTGAAGACAAGCTTAGAGAAAATACGACTCACGAGTTCTGGTGCTGCAGCCCTGCAGATGTTTATGGAAAGCCTGTGGCCTGTCAGGAGCATTGGCAATTTCTTCGGGTTTAGGCCTGTAGACTAATAAGAGAGCATTGTTAATTGCTCCAGAAATTTAAAGGCCATTTCTGAATGGGAAGAGATGCTGGTTTCTGCCTGTTTCAGGATTTTACTTCAGGAAAACTCAGTTGCCTTTACTTTGTTACGTGCTTTTTAGTAATTCTCTTCTTTTTTTTCTGTTGCAGAATGCCTGAACACAGGTTTTGATAGGCTGTTGAATCTTGTTTTCAGCTGTCCATTGCCTACATGAGAGAAGTTAAAGAACAGTTGAATTCTAAAACACTGCTCATCATTAGGTTGAATTCTGCTGTATCTTATCACAGCTATGTTCGTTTGTGTTCTGTTCTGTGTTCTGTAATAGGAAAAAAGTGTCTAGAATCAGTTTAATAGAATCTTTGCATCAGCTTGCTGGGCAGGATCTTCAAATTGATTTTAGATGACTGTTTCTCCTTCTAGTTTACTAGACTATTTAGTCTGTTGTAAGAGAAAGGCAAATCACACAGTTGGATTATTTTTTCCTTAGTTATATTTACCCTTCCCTTTCTGACCTTTATAATCACTACAGTGCTGTTTCTTTTAATGCTGTTTCTTTAGCAATGAGGATCCACAGTGCCGTCATTAATCAAACATTAGCTTAATTGCACCTATTTGCTTAAATAGCAACTTCTTTAGACTGCTGTCACCCATCTTTTTATTCCTATGAAGCCTGGTATGCAGACTTTCCAAAACTGAAGCTCCAGTATGTGTATCAGTTTTGCTCTCTTAATTCTAGTGACAGTAAAAGTACTGCAGAATTCAGGAATGTGTTTAACATGGGAACTCTGCCTTCACTATATTTATGCTTCTGTTTCTACAAATGATGGGAAATAGTTCATTCTGAATGCTGTGCTATTTTACAACATCCTGGGATTACAGATATCACACCAGTAATAAGAGAATCCATTTTTTTTTCTTTCCAAAGAGTCATTATCAGCTAATAGGTTCCCAAATCAAGCGTGCTATTTAAAACACACAGTGTTCAAGTCATTAAATGGAAAGAACTCCCCCTCCTTCAGCCCCCGACCCCTTAAATTAAGGAAATGGGCATTTGAAAATTCTAGTTCCCAACCCATATACCTTTTCTCGGCTGTTTTAATGGCCCTTCACTCCAGACTGCCAAAACACTTTAGCCAAAGGGGTAGTATATTTTATTCTGTTGATTAAAACACTGATATATTGAACAGTCACATCACGTCAAGGAGGTTGCAGTTGTGACTGCGGTTGTTCTGGTTTAGTTTCCTGCTAGAAAGGTTGTAATTAGAAGGATGCACATCAAAGAGTTTAATATTTTCAGCAGGTTTTAGGAGGTTTCAGAAGCAGAAATATCCACCAATTTAGTCCTTATGTTTGCTATCACTTTGTTTCCAAATCCCATAACTAGTGATCTAGGCAAAAAAACAACCAACCTAAGACTTCATAGAATGGTATTGATCTGGAAATTAAGCCTCCAGGGTATATGTGTAGGTTATTTTGCTATGTCAGTATGTGAGGGAATTTTCTGTTTTCCACAGCTGTCTACTCGGAGCCTTGAAAGCCTTCACTGACTTCTCAGTTAGTACATAGACTTATTTCAAAGGAAATGCAGATCTGATGGGCAGAGTAAACTTGATTTGAAAAGTTAACCTCTCCAAATCTATTTACTTGGTGCTTCATGCTCCTCTGTGTTGCCCCTTCTTCCTGTTCTGATGCTTATTATGTGTTAGAGTAAGCAAAGAGAACAATCCTGAGCTGCTTTATTTTGGGGGGGAGGGGAGGGGGAGGAAGAGGGAGCAGGATAAAAAAAGTTATTTTTAATTAGAGTAAAAATTGCTGATAGTAGAAAGAACTGCTCAGTGGTTACCGGCAGGTCTGTCAGTCTCTTGCAAATTCATACCAAAATGTATTAAAATTTGCGGCCTCAATCCCTATGTCAGTGAGTAAGGGAGTCTTTGATTTATGTAATTGGTACAGCTGTGAATCTGCATTTCCATAATTGCAAAGAGCCAGAGGCCTGGGGGTAAAACAAATGTGTGCATTTTAGACCTGCTCTCTTTCCCTGATTCCCAAAGCACACCAACTGTCTTACGGGCTGACTTTTCTCTCTTCCTGGGTGCTTTCAATCATAGCAGCTGTGAAAAGCAAGCAAAATGCTTTCGTCTGGTTATCATGGGAAGAAGTAGGGAGCAAGAAGGCCCAAGAAAATACGGACTATTTGTTCTTTTTCTCTGTGTGAGCTAAGGAAGGTGGTTTCTCTGCTCTGCTACTACTTAAGCAATTAGTAACTTGCTCTAACAACTGCTGTTGTCCCTGTCAGTTCTGACAAGAAAAGGGGGTGAAGAAGCTTTGAGACCTCAGGTTCGCAAAACTTAGGTGGATACTGGAGTGATGCAGTGAATTGCGTTAGTGAAAGTAGGCTTGGGGAAGGTAGGGTATGGTGAGTCTTGAATTCTGTTAAGGGCTCATAAGCAAAAGCTTGGATTTAGTAAGCTAAACGGTGCTAAACTAGCAACTGTTCAGACAAAGTTTGCTGTTGTCAGATTCTATCATATAATCCCTTTGAAAGTACAGTAATTTTTCAGAGTACAAAACTAAATCTTAGTGCTATACTGTATTGTAGTGTTGCTTTCATATTTAATTATAAAACGTGCTAGCCTGTTCAGTGGCAGTATAGCAGAGGTACAGATTATTTTGAGATGCCTGTGGCTTGTATGCGAGAGCAAAGCACCGCAGGAGAGGAGATATCCCTGGCTTTTCTATTGCTGGCCCTGTCAGTTTTCTCTAAATACGTGCAACCATCGTTAGATGTTTGAATATTATAAAATCCGAAAACTCCTTACTTTGGATGCACTTCTTAACTGAGAGAATATTCAAATTACTTTTTATCAGCTCACATTCTCTACCTGTGTAAACCAAATGTTTCTGAGTATGTTAAGTGATCCAGTATATTACTTGGAGAAAAATGCTTTATTTTCCTTTCAAAATGACTGACACAGGATTCATTCACATCGGCACAGAAATATATACCGTAAAGTTATTGACAGCACTGTAACACACAGTAGCTGAAACCTCCATAGTAGACTAACTAAACAGATTTCAGAGTCGCTTCCATTTTTGTCTTACATATTTTCCTGCAGAAGTGGTCCATATTGTTGCCACCCTCCTAACTGAAGTGGCATCAGAGGAGAGGAAGCTTTTCAGTTAGTTCATTCTAGAG